ATAAAATTTTATATTTTATTTGTTTACTAAAATTTTACATTCATACATTTATTTTATATAAAATGTATAATATTTACTATTGTAATGACGACAATATTTATTGCAGCAATACTGCAATACTAGTGTTTTCACAAACTTTTGTCTCGAATTATTTACGTATAATAATTCGAGACAAAAGTTTGTGAAAACACTAGATTTTATTGTTGATTTACTTGTTTTTGTTGAAAATTTAATCATACAAATGTTTGGCGTAAACTGTATTACATTTACTATTGTATTATATTGTGTATATAGTTAAGTGAACTCCTAACTAGTTAATAGACTTGAAATTCTATTGAAAATTGTCTGGGAATAGTGAGCGAGCGTGGGCGTATGTGAATGTAATTTAACCGCAAACAAGTTTTAATTAGGTTCGAGCTCTATTTTGGCACCGGCTCCGTATGTTTATTTGTTTATTGTTGACACCTCGACGATGATCGGCGCCAATCCTGAACCTAGGCGCGTGTTAAATGGATGTACACGGTCACATGGTCTCTCACATAAGCAAACATAAACACGCGATCATCAACCAAACTTGATTTCAATAGAAACGTCGAATTTGTTTAATCCTCGATTAAAGAGAAAATTATTTTTCAGAACATGTTAATCGACACTAAAAAAAAACGGGTGACGTTTTTCTCTTCATCCTCGCCGCAATTAAGCACACAAAGCAGCAGTCGTCTTGGTCTAGCCACAATCAATTCGAATGTTTGATAGTTTCGCCAATCGAATAAGTTAGGGCAATTTGTCAGACTGGAAATTGACAAGCATTATATTCCATCCCTTGTCTACTTGTTGTACCTTTTTTTTATATAACCTTTCGCATCCACCATTTCTTTTGTTGTTCTTTTGTTTTATTAATCGGAATCCGTTTTCTCAAATGGAACTTTTCGGACGGATATCCAATAAAAACAAAATAAAACACGTCTCTTTTCATCGTTCGTATCAAACGCGCACTCGAATTTCCCGACAAAGGAATGCGCAATTTAATACTTCGTCCTTCCATTACGAAACGGCCCCTTTCTTATATATTTAAAAGCCATTAGTGAATTCGCGTCTCATTTTCGTTTGTGCGCATTGCATAGAATCGATGCCCGAAATAATATCTGCACTTTAGATACGTTGTTGTATCACGGTCAAGGTTCTTTCCATTTCGAGCCATTACAGCTTCAAAACGAATCTCGCAGTTCAGATAAAATTTATGTTTAATATTATTTTCGCAGCGCAGTTTTATACCATTTTAATTTGAGATTGAGTTAGTTTTAATTTCAGCATTTCTTGGTGGTATTTCGAACTTGTGGAAACTCCCTCAACGTTTTCTTTGGCTGCTTCAAAGTTCCTCCATATACTTTAACGTGAAACTTTAAATGAATTACACACATAGTTCAGTTTATCAAAGGCTTCTTCGCTGCGCATTTCCTTGCATTTTTTTTAAACAAAAAACCGGACTAATCGAGTAGTTCCTTGAATTAAACCGCATAAAAGAGACTTGTGAGGTAATTCTGTATTTAATTTGAATGTGTAATTAGCAGTGATGAAAAATTGTGAAACTTTTCATAAAAAAAATAAATACGCGTTCTCATAAATCACGGATGTGTTAATATGAAATAGCAACATGGGAATAGTGTCAAGTGGGGAGAAATAGACTGGATTTCTAGACGTGTAAGAGTAATTTTCCATCGATTTCCTTGGGTTTGATGATAATGGTAAATAAAATGTTGCTCGGGTTGTTTGCTTTATTTTGCCCGCAATCAGCGTTCTATCAGATTGAAACTAGATCTGATTTACAGCTCGATCGTAAATTTCCAACGGCAAGCATTTAGTGCGTAATGGACATAATCTTGATAGTGCCATGCACTATATTTAATTAATAGTGTCGTTCCCAATTTCGAATTTTACGATAATCACCAAAACAATTAACGTATTTAAAAAATAATACCTATAGGTAATTCAACAATTTCAAATTTTAACTACTTGATGTAGATATTTCATGAAATAACTAGTTTTTTATAATAATGCAACTGATATTCCAATTTATTTAATATTGTTTGTTTTTGAAATTTTATGACTCATCATCAATGTAATAACTATCAATTCTTATCATCTTCATTTACCAAATACCAACAATATTTTAAATAAATATAAGATACCATGAAATTTTAAAACGTGACCAAAATTTATCTAAGTTATCTTTATTTATTTACGTAACATGTTTCAACGTCTGCACTCTTTTAGAATTTGTATATAAATCACACTTTCGTATCGTTATTTTCAATGATTTGTGTTTAATTAGAAGAAATAATCAATTTTGATTATGAACTTTTTTTTATATATTTTTCAATATATAAATGATTTTATTTGTTGTATGATTACAGCCAAATAATTACGAAAGAAAATCTGTTATTAAAGCTACAATTTTAATTGGATTAAAACTTTATTATATCATTATAATGTTTGTTTGATAATCTATCAATTAATTAAATAAAAAGTGATTATTTCTTGCGCTAATTATTTATGTGGAAATAATGTATTTTAATCGAATTAAGTTTTATTATTATATAATTACATTTTTATTGTAGAAAATAATTTTGTACATGAGAATGTTAAAAAAAAATCAATCAATTAATAAGAATTAGAATTGTTTCTGTTTCTTGCGTTAATTGTGTATAAATTTGTGTTGAAAGGAGAATGTTTGAGTATTGAAGCAAAAAAAATTGGTTCTCATCGATGCAATCCGTACGATAGTTGCGTCAAGTAAAAGTTCAGGTAGTTTGTTTGTTTTTTTTTGTCGTTCGATTCTTTTCGCTCATCTATGTAAGCAAATATTATAAATTACATTCGGCTTTGTTAGAAAGTCACGTAGTTACCGTCACGCCGAGCCAGGCTCAATCCTCTTCCATCAAGTCTCCTCCTCACGGCTCGTATCCTTATACTTCCAAGAGCTACGGCATGCATGTTTAACTGTCCGCAAAATAAAAGATGAGACAATTTCATTTTAAATTTAACACTTCGCCATTTCTTGACCCATTACACATTTATCCTCCTGCACGTGTAGCTATTATACATTTATGTGTTTTTATCCTGAAGGAAAAGTAGTAGTCTTCACACAGACGAGATCATCAAAGCAGTTGGATTGTAAATGGGATAGTTTAATGGATTATTGTTATCTAAATTCAAAGCAAGCCCGAATTTCTTAATCCTACCAGACCCCGAGAATTATTTATATTGGGATGATCAAAGCCATTATGCTTGCCGGAGAGTCCCTTTGACCCTGTGCAAAGGGAATCCGTTGATTCGACCAGAACTTTTCGACACTATTTGACTTAGTTTATGTCTGTGTGTATATATACGTCGACAGATGGGGGCGCCGTGCGGAAGAACGAGTAATTATCAACGACAAAGTTTAATGCGGGGTGGGTTTCGGGGTGTGTAGTGAAACAAAATGGATCTTGGCAAATTGATGTATGGTCGGCTTTTTCTTTACGACTTCTTCGCCGTAATTTCCGATCGAATTTATTTTCGTAACGAAGTTTTATCGCTATTGAAAGTCAAGTGGATTGTGTTACTCCCTCCCCCACACACACACACGTTGGACGTCTGATTGCATTCATCTTCTTCCTTCACATGAAATGCGCAATTAAAAATATCCTACAATTGAGCAATTAAAAACCGAAATGACTTTCCAATAAAAAGTTTATTGGAGATTTTCGCACGTAATAAACGAATCGAATCGAGTTTCCGCTTCGTTTTAACTGGAAAAAGTTTCGGCGCTGCATTTGATCGCCCTTCCCGATATATATGATTCTCCTCTACTGCATCGAAAAACTTTCAAAGTTGGAAATCTAAAAATAAATCGGTATTATTCAAAGCCATGGATTCGGAAATGGACGTAAAGTTTCACAGGAAACTTCCTTTCCATTTATGGACTGTAATTTATCATATCGCACTTGATCATCCTACTATTTTGCAAAGGATCTACAACAAGCTTATACTCAGATAAACTGTTTTTTATAACACACAAACTCACATTATTATTTATACATTCTATAAATAAAATAAACTTTGATTTATTTCAAACTTCGATGTCCTATGTATGTATATAGTATCGATCTTCTTCCTTTACTTCTATCTATCTACAAGGTTATCCTCATATGCCATTATTTTACATAATTTAAGTAGATTTATTATTATTACAAAAAAATACAATTTCTTATATAGTTACTGAATAATTATCATCGAAGTTTAGCAAAACAGAATATATCTGTATATTGAAATCTCGACATCCGAAATCCCGACAGTATCAAAATCGCGAACATTTTAGCAGGTTTTGGCTATCTTCATTAGAACTTTGTATAATTGGAATTCTGGAAGTACAAAAATCGAGCAGAGAATTGTTGAAAAGATCTATAATATAGATACACATAAGTTATAAATTTATAACAACTCCACCCGGTTTCTCTCCTTCACCATAATTAACTAGATAATTTTAATTTATCATCGGTATAAAACACGATTCTGAAAAAACAAAGGTTTTATTCTAAACCAGTGTTTCCCATCGTGGGGCCCACGCTGATTGTCATTGGTGGCAATTCTGAAATGGACACGTCTAGAGTTTAACCGCATGTTACATAATTTTTGAAAATATTTCGTGGGGCATAGCACAAAAAAGGTTAGGAACCACTGGTCTAAACTATAGAATATCTTTTTTATTCATGTAGTAAGTAATAACGAATATTTTTCAATTCATTTGTTTTAAGTAATATATCAAATAATAGAAGATACTGTCCGGATTATGGTTGTCGGGATTTTGATCCGATTTGCTTAAGAGCTATTAGTAAAATCTACTAAATATTAAACACACTCGCTAGTAAATCCAAATAGATTTAATCTTCATATTCAATATGCATTGAGAATTGAAGATAATTGTACTAATGAATTTGTTTGTTTTTATTGTTCTTCAGGCTTGCATCTGCGCAACAGCGAGGAGTCTCGGATGCCAGGCGAAGGTGGCGGTGCAGAGTCGGGATTACACCGGCTACACCGAAACTGCTATGACCCAGAATATGCACGGATGGAAGCATGGCTGGACGAGCATCCGGATTTCGTGCAGGATTATTTTTTAAGGTCAGTACTTCTTCGGGTGTCTTCGAGCAATCAAACGCTTCACACTTTCACCGTAAATCCTTCCATTGATGCATCCCAAGAATCCAATAAACTGGAAGGAACATTGATCTGAATAAGAGTTTATTGCGTCCAACACAACTACAATACGGATCAAATTTAGTTTGCAAACATTACTTCAGAATAAATAACTAACTTTTTCAATTAGTAAAGGTTCAATTCGCATATATTTCATAATGAAAAGTAGAAATATAAGAAAAGTTTTCAATATATTTATTCTACAGTCAACATTAGAAAAATGCTTACGAACATTATATAAGAATCAATAACTTTTTTTTTCAATTCGTAAAGGTTCAATTTGTATATTTAATGATGCGTCTACACCAGCGGTTCCCTACCTATAGGTTGTCAAAGTATCAAAATCTGTATGTTATAAAAAATACTTCGGGCAAGCATGTTGGATCGCACATTAAAAGTATTGAGAAACCCTGGTCTACATTATAGTTGACATGAGACAAATGTATGTCAGAAGTACCAACTGTTAAGTATTATAGACAAGTTCCGTTTACTTAAGAAGATAGTAAGTTTTACATTTCATATAGTGAGTTCAAATTGAAATAAATTATATAAAATTAGACATATAATTCTAAATTAATCGAATAGGAATTAATAAAAGTGTTATTATATAAAGAAAACAAGTAATTTTGGTAATTAGTAATAATATAGAAAATTGTACTTTTACCTGTAGCATTCAGAGTAATTGATGGAAACAACTCTATATCGAAAACTCATAAATGAGACATAAATTATACATAATTATACAGGTGAATTACACAAGACAAGAAATTACACTTCTTCGAGCGGTCATAATGTCGGAAAAATTGCTACTTCGACCATAGTTATATAAACAACGTCAGAATTATATAACAGGCAATAACTTATTTATTGACAGACATTGAGTTTTGTTGATTGAAATAGAGTTCAACGCGAATTGAAAAATCAAATATTTATGGTTTTCCTCCACAAATTTGTTGTCTTATTATTTAAAGTCATGTCAACAATTGTTGTAATTATGTTAACTATCGAATGTTGAAATAAAAATTTCATCATTTTTAAATTTGAGCAAAATTAATTATTTTGTAAAAGTGGAAGCTATTAATTTAAACAAGAACTTTAAAGTTTAGTTTTTGGTTTGTCCTAATTATAACAAAATATGTGAATAATTAAAGTTTATAATTATTTTGTTAATTATAAATTTTGATGAAGCTAATTACATTTTGCGTAATGAAATTTCAATTATGATGAGCTGATAATTAACGATTCTCCAGACCAGTAAATGTGGCGAGTTTACTATGCGCTAATGCAATTATCTGTTGAATATAAACAAAGAGTTAATGAGAGTTTGAGAGTGGTCAGTTCTCGTTTTTTTCCTTTATTGATGCATTTGCATTTATAAAAGAGAAATGTTGCAAATATGTATTTTTTATTTCTTCGTTATACTTGATTATTATTACTAGAATCACCCATTCAAATATATGAATTGCTTAACTTTGTGAGTCATCAATACTTTATTATTACTGGAATCACCCATCCAGAAAAGCTGTGAAACATCAAAGAATCGTTGAACTTTAATAGACGTTGAAAATCTTCATTATACTACAATTTAGTCTCATATCCACGTAATTCATAAGCTGTGAATCATCACGTTATTCGCCGAATGCTAGACGTTGAAATATTGCCAATATTCTATATAAATAATAATCTACAAACTGTAAACAGAAAGGAAGTAGTGATTCGAAAACAAAGCATTTTGGCAACTTGACAAACGTTACTCGATGTTTCACATTTGAAAAAGCGTTGCATAATTAGGCTGTCTTTAATGTACTTTTCTTTTTTTTTTGTTTTACGTGATGCAAACCGTCTCTCCGTCCTGTGTTGCGCAACCGGCGGCGATTCGCGTTTGCTTTTGAGAATTCTCCACGAAGTGAAAACCAATATTTGCTAAAGCTTCATCGAATTCAATATTTGATCGGAGGTAATTCCCGTGGTAAGATGCATTCCTGCATATGTTATCTTACGTAAATGGGGAATACCTGCCTCTTCGCCGAAAAATCATAATCACCTGACTCTAATAGATGCGTGTGAAATAATATTGAATGCGTGGCGCAATAGAATTTTACCATAATCAATGCTCTACTCGGAATCATTAATTATGTTTACCTTTAGTTTCTTCATGCAAATATTATCTTCTCAGAAAGCTTGTTTTCATTCATCACTTGAAATCTTCTATTTACTTTATAATTAATTTATTATACTTAACATAATATCAGTTTAAACTTCAATAGTTTTGTTATTTTCATAATTATAAAAATATTCAAACCAAACAAAAATTAATGCAGTGAAATAAAATTGGACTTCAATATTTTACTAGTTTTAATTATTGAAGTATTCTCTGAATTATAAGTCTATTAACAAAAAAAAACTATTGGTTAAGTCGATGTGATGAAGATCTAAATAGAGCGATGAATAATTACCCCACGTCTGATTGAAAATCAATAGTTTAAACCGAATCGTATTAATACAATAAACTGTTTTAATGAAGGGAACATTACATATTAATTGCATAATACGTAATTGTCGTCATTCGGTTAATAATAACAGCACTAATCTGTTATAAGAATGAATGTGCGAATTAGTATAAAGTAATTTAAAGTGATGTAAATGTTTGTAAGATGTGTTCGATTTGTGGATGTATTTAACCTCGTAGACGTGACTTTTAAAAATTTTGCTAGCTATGCATAATTTATTATTATACTTTACGTATTCAACTAACAGTTGAATAATTGTTGTATCAAAAAAAAAACGGCACGTGTGTAACTTATACTTTGTGTTAATAAATCAACACGTTTTTGTATATACAGTAAAACCTCGCTTAACGAGCAAAATGAATTGTAAGAAAAATGACTCGCTTAACGAGTGACGTTCCGCATTACGAGTGAGGATGAGAAGAGGAGTCCCGGATTGCGCGCCTGCTACATCAAATTCAAAACTTGTTTACACATATTATGTGTATTTTGAATATGTTTCACTATACGAGTATTTCACAATACGAGTAAAAATCCGGAAATTTTGGAACGGATTAAACTCGTTAAGCGAGATTCTACTGTATATATTAATTAAATTTGAGAAAGATTATTTTAAAGTTTATATTTCATCTACAGAATTAATATGTTTTTGTTATTTTAATTTATTAGTACAAAGAAGTATGTGTACATTGCTTTTATTAGAATTGAAGGTAAAAATCACCAATCTTTAATAAACTGTTTAACTATAAATTATGAAATTGCATATATGCGATTTAATAAAGTCATCCGTAATTATAGTCATTCGTAAGTAAGAAAATTGAGTATAAAGCTTAGATTATGATGCAAATAGTGATGATCAAATTTATCGTAATAAATATGTCCAGTTTTGTTTGTATGTCTATGGGAATAAAAAAAATAATATATTTTCTTGGCTTTTAGCCACTTCTTAGATTGAAATCGTTTATGTATATATAAAAAAAATCATATTTTGTTAGCTTTATGTCACTTCTAAATTTAATAAAATATCTGAATAATAACTAAAAATGTAATTCAATTACATAAAATTTCATTAAATTATAACAGCTACAAATTAAATATTATATTGCTAATTCATATGTTTTTTTAGATTGAGCTTTAATTGAAAATCTATAGTTTTATTCCCAATTCAGTATGTTAAAATATTGTTAGTTTTAGAAATGTTTAAGTAAATGAACATATTGTTGGAAACGTGTTTAATTAACAGTAGGTCGGTTGTCTTTGCTAAAATATTTGAGCGTTGCTAAAATAGTGAACTTGATAATATTTGCATACAAACATACATTGTTTAGTCTAGACGTGGACAATATAATCAAATATGTTTTTGTTCTCCCGTCTTCTTTTGTATATATACATACACATAAATACATAGAACGCAGATATAGAGAACGATATGATGTTATGTATGAATTGATGAATAGGCAGACCTCAATAATATTGGAGTTCCCGCATCCTTCAGTCGTATGGGGAAAAAACGCGCTCAATACACACACTCAGAGAGAATCGCGTTATTAAAAAATTCCAGTTATTATATTGTTATGTCCGTTTCCGGTGTGTCGTGGAATGCCGAGGCTCGAGCGAGCCTAGTCCTCCTCCTCCTACACGCCGTTTCCAATGTGTTTAGTTATTTGAGGTCTAGACTTTACTCAAGGGCGCATACGTGGGCAAATAAGTGCTCAACGAAGGGTTGTGGGTTTTTGCGATGCGAGGAGGGTGATAGTGCTGCGACGAGGCAAACGAGGGAATAAGTTCAAGGGCTCGGAACACATATTTTCCTTTTTCCTAATAGGCATTCCTCGCTTTGAGCTTAATTAAATTCATACGGCGTGCCGTCCCGCCTCGATTAATTACACATGCCAAATGCAAGGCACGACTGGAGGAGGATTCGATCAGGGGGGAGGGAAACCCCGAAATGGTATAACTATAACCGTAAAGGACGATGCAGGACAACGATGCAAACAATAACAACAATGTCAGAGCCGAGTTGGAAAGTGGAAATGGATAGTAGAAAGTTATTTTGGTGTGCGAGGATAAATAAATTCCGTACAAATATTTACGTTTCGCGCACTGTCTCTTTCACTCACTCACTCACTCCAAAGAACATCAAATGCTTTATAATTATAGAAACAACTTCCTTCTTTTACGCAATTTTTTTTACTATAGGAATACACATAATTATTTTTATTTCCGGACTGTTCGTGGCTTTACGCTAAACATATTTAGAGCGTTGAAAAAATATAACAAACCAAATCAATATGTAAAAAGTAACTTCATTACGATTACAAATTTGTTGTTCCACTTGATGAAAAGTAAATAAAGTCACTTTATTGATAGTTATCAAACTTATTTCCTGCTTTTAATAATATATACCAACTGTGGACAAATGCGGCTCTTCGTTGTGTGGACAAGTGCAGCTCCTATTAAAATTTATGACAATTGGCAATTTCATACAAAAAAAATATGTATCTTCCTGTGGCTCTTTATAAAATATAAAAAACCAGATTGCGGCTCTTTTTGGCCTAATGTGTGCTTACCCCTGGTATATAAATACCAATAAAATTAATTGAATAAAAGTTTATGTAATGTTTGTAATATTCAACGTTTTTCATCAAATATTTACTATTTTAATTGTTTTAGATCCAGTTTCCTAAAATAATATCAAATATCCACTTAAATTGGATTACGAGTTGTGCTTCTGCATTAATCTGGTATTTGCGTAATCCAGTTGCGAAAGTTTCGCGAAGCAATTGAAGTGCGATCTTTATTTACTCAAAAATAAGGGATGTCAGGAGTTGATCTCTCGGTGTTAAAGTGGATTGAGATGAAAATTGATTTCTTTGCTAATAAAAGAATTTCTTTGTTACAGGAAGGCCACTCGTCAAGTGGTGGATTCTTGGCTCGTGTCCCATGCGACGCCAACCTCTTCCAGCGTGGAGCTATCCTCGCCCACGCACAACCAGTCGAGGGGCGGCTCGGGGGCGACCACCCCCGTTCGCAAGATCTCAGCCCACGAGTTCGAAAGGGGTGGCCTTCTGAAGCCAATGATCAGCACCATCGATGGTACCCCGACCTTCCTCACCAGCACAGAAGGACAGACTGGAAGTGGTCCAGGACACAGTCCGACGCCCGGCAGGCGGCAGCGCCGCTCCAGGCACGAGCTGAGACAGCTGGACGAAAAAGAGCTGATCTTCGAACTGGTGAGTGCACATAAATTACCAATTTACGCCCGAGGAAAGGTTCACCTTTTTTTTGCGTTCGTATGGAATCAATCGCGTGACGAGAGCTTCCACGTCCATCCTAATGGCACTTGAAATATGTGTGGGTTACAGTTTTTCCAAACTTTTTCCTAGCAAATAAATTTACGAGCATCGAAAGAAGGACGCTTCGTATAAATTTCACTTTCAACAGGTAAATTAAATAACGACCGGTCGGTGCGAATTCCCCACAAGTTTCATAGTGATCACAAACTCCATTTCAATGCAGCTGAAACAAAGTTGGAAAGTTTCTTCAACACAAACCAAACGTGACCAACTAAAAAAGAAACATTTGTCAGAGTTGGTGTTTCTTTTTATCTCATGAAACAGAATTTATTTAGAATATAAAATAAATTGTAATCAATTGGAAAGTTTGCAAACCAAACAAGCCTTCACAATATATACACCATTTTATCGTTTCGTGTCTGTCGATGAAACATAGATTCATCATTACTCACCTAAGTGTAAATAAAAAATAAATTTCGAACAAATTCTAAAATGTCACTAAAGATTGCTAATTATTTTAAAAAGCTTTTCAATTGATATTGAAAATAGTTAATTGATCGTAAATGGTAGCAATAATATTACTAATCCAAGTGCTTAATTATCCTAAGTTGGGAAACATCAATTACCTAATGGACGTTGCCTGTTGCAAATTAATGATTTATTGAAGATTTCAAATTAGTGGTAGTAATAATAATTTATTGCGTATACATACATAAACAAATTTGTCGAATTTATATATGCTGTTGTTTGTTCTTTGTCAAATATTTGTTGCTAAAAAGTTATATATTATTCAAATTTTAATTTGCTGCTGAAAAGAATAATGGTTTAAACGCTCTGCGCAAACTGGGAATTTGCTACATGCAAAAATTAAGGTCACTTGAAAATGTCATAAAAAGAGGGAAGACGGGTTGTTGAAAGTTTCCCTTAAATGAAATAAGTTGGGATTGCAATCGTCGTCGTCCACTTCACTTTTTTTTATTCGTATTTGGTGTTTCTAATTCGAGAGCACGTATTGATTGGTCTAGTGTGCGCTTCTGGTCTCTTTTTAAATGAAACCACCCCCTTTTTACCACCATCCCCCTCTTCGCCTATCGATCTTATAAAGGCAATAACGCGTCCAGTTAATTTCAGTAATTGGACCATTTATAGTGTGTTATTAAATTAGTTAAGTGTCCGACGGGCATCGCTCACCTATCGAATATTATTAATCGAATCAACTTCAGACCTGACCGGATCGATACGTAACGTCTATTATCTAACAACAAACAGTGCAAATATAAACATGCTGTATCACCTCCCTGCAAGCCGCGTTAATCTCGCCACAGTTTACGTAAATATTCAGCAAACTTCAATTACTCGATACAATAAACGCTAATGTTCACTTTACGATTTAACATTCACATTTGTTATAGTGATATAATGAATCGAATTGATAGTTCTTTACTGAAAAATAAAAGATATAATGAATACGAGATAAACTTTAGGTCATCCGCCGGTTTATGTGCATTGCTGTGTTTCAACGTAAACGTTATTACTTTTCGTACGAAAACATAAACTAAAGGTTAATCGCCGACTGTAAAATATATGTATTACTAAGAAAATATAAATCTCATGCAGTGATAGATTAATAACGTCTAGTTTTATTGCGTTTCTTTGTACGTTTTTTTTAACGTCGTTATTAATATCTCTCCGGACTATTATTTATTTACTATTAGTACTTGCAGACATGAAATTATCCGATTGTTTAGGTGTCATAAATACATTAACGAACATCGGCATTAAATAACGTATATATATTATTTTTTTTCGCATACCCGAATTTAACACACAATTTCCATTTATTACCGGTTTCGCACATTTTGTCGCACAGCTTTTATGTTTATCCAACGCAATATGAATTTATTTTAACACGCGCTGTCATTAATATTTGCCCAACATTCCCTATTTATAGCACGTTTATTAATTCCCTTTTCAAATACGGGTTTTGTACTATGTTTTCATCCAAATTAAAATAACGTTATTACTGTCAATTATTGATCATTATTGTATTTTCAGTATAAACCTAAAGTTATCTTTGTATAAATGAATGAAAAGAAGAATTAGTTTCAATCTTTGTACCCAACGAAATGTAAAGATTTGTCAATTAGTATTTAATTATAATGTTAGTTATAAGATGTTTGAAAGCTTACTAAAGTTAAACAACAGATTGTACCTGAAATGGTAATAATACTAGCATTATTAATTATATAGTGTCGTGTCCCGGGATGAAATATCTATGGACACTGTGGAATACTTTGTAGTATTGTCGATGTGGAGTCCTAGTGGGTTTTATAGAAGAGTCAGTGTAATAATAGTATTTATTTAACACTTAGATGCTGGTGATTCTTAATTTACTTTCCAGTTGCTAGAAGTAGAGTAAAACTAGAGCTGTTACTAGGACTCACATGAGTCGCGGACTAACTAGGACTAACTTAAAATAACATAAGTTTCGTCTATAGGCGCCGGTGGGGATTTGTTTATGTCTCCCGCTGCCGATAAGGTCTAAAGGGTGATAAATCTTACAATTGTTTGGGGAGGTTAATAGTGGGTGGCATAGTTTGTATAGTTAGCTGCCCGATTTCCACATACTCCCCCTTTTAAGAGGGTGACATATGTATACTAACAAAATATGAGAAACAGAGCGTTTCTCCAAAAAAGGTTCTATTGTCCTATGCAGATGTTTGCAGGTGCCGATAGGCTTGTTTGATGTTCGTTGGAACTTTCCATAAGACTGTACTTGCATAGATAAAGAGTACACATAATACTTGTATATCAATAATTAATAATAAAGTGGTTGGACACAAATAAAGTCAGACAAAGAGTATTTATATAATGAAATTTGTGGAACTGCAAATGGTGCATATACATTGTGAATAGTGGTGGTGACACGACAGTGTGAAAGTGCATAGAAAAATATGCGAATCACAGGTTTCGATTTGGAAGCGTTGAAACGCGTTTGTGATTTTTGGTCACCATGCCAACTTTCCGAAGTTCATTTTGATCTCTTCGCATATGGGTGCACTTATCCATTGTGTTTATTAATAAAACCGGGAAGGTATTGTTATTTATAGTTGAGCATTATGAACAAATGTCTTTGGAGCATTGGTATAATAAGTCATGTGTAGAAACTTTTAAGATGTTTAAAATAAAATTGTTGTTAATTATGTGAATGGTTTGTTTTAGGTGAAGGATATCTGCAATGAGCTGGAAGTGCGCTCGTTGTGTCACAAGATCCTGCAGAACGTTTCGATGCTCCTGCACGCAGATAGGGGATCTCTGTTCCTCGTGCAGGGTGAGAAGGCCACCTGCCAGACAGTCGGTCCGCATTCCCAACGAGGGCGATATCTAGTCTCAAAGCTGTTCGACGTCTGCTCAAAGAGCACCTTGATCGAGATGGAAAAGAAGGATGAGATCAGGATACCCTGGGGCACCGGCATTGTTGGCTACGTTGCGGAGAGCGGCGATCCCGTTAATATTCCCGACGCGTACAAGGTAAATAAAAGCTCCTTTCATCCAGGTTTTCAAAAGAAAAAGATACGAACATTCCGCGCCAACAACAAAAAAAGAAATAACACGGAGATAGGGATAACGTTATCTTAAATATTAATGTCCCGGACGTTGGGTTATTATTTCGTTGTAGCGCGAGAGAGAGTAAAGTTTAATGGTCGAAGATAAATCACGGTATTATTATGGGCATCTCTGGAACAGAACCGTTGTTCTTTAAAACATCGAACCTTTCGCGTCTCACCTTTGCTGCACTTCAGATGGGATCCGTGCCCTTCCAGTACGTTTCCGGTGAAATGGAAGATGATCGAATCGCATTTCTCGAAATCCCAACCGGAATAATTAATTGAGATAATCTGGATTTAATCGCCTCCCAAAGATCGCTATCTATGGGACTAATTAAGCCATTTAATTATGATTTTTTGTTTCGTTTACGAATCTCGTGATTAATTAATAAAGAAGAACTCGCGCACGAATTAGGCCCGTTTTAATTGCATTAATTTAGTAATTGGTCCTCTCTCGCATGGATAACGTGAAACGCAGGGCAATAACCGTTTTCGTACTTTCGTAAAGCTAATCGTTCCGAGCCTATAACGATATTCCAATTAACAAGATTTATACGAGAAATTCGAAAACAAAGTTCGCCTTAATTAAATGCCAATATCATTAGTAGTTTGGATTTATACACGCGAATTAATAGATTTCACTTGCAATTTTGTAATTATAACATCTTAAAACATAAATAAATCTGGACTCTCTAAACAAATATTTTCTATTTTAACCTCAAGTTTTATGTTTAATTTCAAATATTCTAAGAAGAATCAAACATTATTAAGTATAAAAATGATTATTACTTATTAACAGTAAAATTACGTGTTTGACATAAATCTATTATAATTTTTGGAATAATTTCATAAAACTAAAGCGTTTCAACTTTATTAAATTGAATTAAACACATTCATTCATTAAAAAAACAAAGTCTATGTGCTTTTCGCAAAATTAGCTTCTCCTTTCAGCGAATTCCAAGCAACGCAAAGATTCTGAAGAAACGTCGCCGCACATTTCCGGCGAGTTTCAATGAATTTCTCGTATCAAATGCAAAAGAATTTTCCCGCCCCAGATTTATCAGATTGCATTTAATTTGCAATGTCTTTGTACATTCATGCTTGTATTCACAATAGCCTCTTGAATTGTGCTGCTGTTGTAAAGCAGTTGAACTGGTTGACCTTCAATTCCTTATCTTAGCTCGGCTATTCAATATTACGAGAAAGATTCTATCGACGTGCATATTTTTTTTTTAATTTTATATATATATTGAACAATTCTTGCATTCACCCTCATATTCTTTGCTAACTCAAAAAACATCTCTTTTCATTCGATTAATATTCGATGTTTTCTTATTTCGTTTATAATATAATTTCTTTCAAAGTGCAAAATAATAAAGATAAATTGTAGTAAATATACTCAGTTTGTCTGCTTTAAATTTTCGAAGTATAAAAAATGAAAAATTTGTTGTGTACATCATTAGTATCTACTTAAAGAGATTTTCAATAGTCCTTCAATTATAGAAACATAAATTAGACTAATTGTAGTTGAACTTTCTGAAATATTTCTTTTAAATTTTATTAATATAAATCTCCATTAGATTGATTGTAATGCAATAAACGTTGTTTTTTGTTGATCAACATAATAAATTAGAATTACTTTTACTCTTTTTGGAAACCGGATTTCCTTATATGCCTTTTGTCAATATCCTGTGAACGTTTCATTTTGTTCGTTAAATATAACCGGTCCGTTATTGTTTTCTTAAATATCAACCGCAATTGTATAAATGTAGGTGCGAATTGATGAATCATTAGTTAACATATTTGTAAATAAAACGAATTGCTGCCTGCTGCAGCTATGTTTCCATCGTGTGTTGAATGAAATCCAAAACCATTTGCATAATTGCGAAAGGGTATTAATTCGAAGTTCATTCGAATGTTGTTTCCCACAATATTTTTTTTGTGTGTCTGTTTTATTTTATTTTGTTTTGTTTTCCGAGAGAGTGTACAGTTGATAAGAGACCCAAGGCGGTCATCGTTGGCGCCTGTGGGATAATCTTCAAACGGCTTCGATGTTTACTCGTTTCCTCTCATGTGCGTGGTGCACAAAATTTTGTTTACAGATTTGTTTAGAATGTTTCATCGGAAACATGTTGACCGCGCTTCAGAAAACTAGTCGAAGCTTAGAGAGGGAGCCAGACTGCTTTAATGACTCTATTTGTTTATTATTGCCAATTCTATTAAGCATTCAATGAATGCCAGTGTGATTCGATTCAAAAGTGCATTCGGATACGTTATGCGCGCATACAGAAACTCGTTCTTTTAAAACTTCCAAACAACTTCTTATTTTCTCTCTCTCTCTCTATTTACTTATATATATGTTCCTGTTTCTTATTCGTTGTTGATGCTTTTTTTCTGTTTGTTGTTGCCGCCGCCGACAGTTGTTGCAATTTATTTTTATGTTTCGCCCAAGAGACGTATTGCATAAGTGCTCTAACTTTGTTGGAACTCTCGTCCTCGTTAGCACACAGTTAAGTAACGATCTATACTTAGTCGAATTATTCGAATGAAATTAATGAAATGCACACATAGAGCGTGAGAGAGACGTTGCGACAGTTGGATTGGAGCCACTTTGAATTGACATAATTCATTTCCCCCAATCAGGAACGTTCCAGTTGGGTCAAGTGTACTGAGCGCACTTTTTTTTTAGTAGAGAGAAACCCGAAAGCTTCCTGTCTATGCCTCGGAAATTTATGGCACGGATTTACGTAATCTCGCTTTACATACCCTTAAACCTGCTTCCAAAATAATCCACGAATACCAAAATAAAATGATAATTCTCGTATATATATCTCTCATATTATTTCAGTAAATACATAATTTATAATGTTAATATTCTGTGTAGGTTTTTTTAAATTTTGGTATTATAAGCAAAATTTATTACTTTTGATTAAGTAACAATTTATGTACATTTAAATATCAAATTTGTACGTGCTTATATTGACTAGTAAATGTATACATTTACTACAACAACATTTACATATTTTTTTGCTATTGTTGTTTTGCTGTTATTCCTTCCATGACTTTACAATTTTCGTGTGGTACAAGAAACTCCTGTGGAGACGTGCCAAAAACTTATTCGAAACTGTCGTTTTTCCACTGCGCTGAATTTTAAACGCCTTTCGCCTTCTTCATTCATACATATATTTTTGATTATTTCTCTTTTTGTTGAAAAAAAAATTTTACTTTATTGCATAACTTTTCGCTGCGATTCTGCGGATAGTTTCCTTTCCTGAAAGCAGACATTAATTATGTAGCCCAGACAAGAGTTCGCCTACATAAACGCCATATGGTTGGTGGTTTGGTGAGATCTAGCTGTCTGCTAAACTCGACTTGTTAACTCTGCGAACTTGGCTATTAAACCCCGCAGTATCCACTCATTACATCCACGTGCAATTCCTTTTATTATTGCACTCTTCAGAAGAGAGAAATAAAATAGAGGTTGAGCCGTATCGATTGCTCTCAGATGTATAATGAAATTTGCAAAGGATGAGAAACCCCCAATGTTGCGCATAGCCGCGATTATTTTATTGTAGAGCTTCACATTTGTTTTGTCTGTCAATGAGTGTACAATTTTCAATAAAATTATTGAGTAAAAGTATAGAAAATTTCGATTTCAATTGAATCAAATTAATTCACAATTATAATTTGTCATATTGTAGAAAATTGTAGATATTTAAAAATAGAAAACATAAAAAAATACTTTGTAATATATAGCATATAAAAAAATGTATGCAATTACTTATTTTTATATGTAATGTTTTATATATGAAACTTTTAAATTTTTGATTTAGTTTTAATGATATTTTCGTTTGAGTTGTAGTTTTTTTCAACCGCGCTCTCGGAATTTAAATAAATCTGGGGGCGTTAGTTGGTTCGTTAAGTTACCGAGTAATTACGTGCGGTTTAATTAACGAAATAAGTAGTTTTAACGAATCGCTTTTTCGTAATTCCGCGCGGCTCGTGGAAATAAAGTTTGTTGTTTCCGAGGTCGACCTCATTTTTACTGGAAATGGCACGTGAATTGCCGATAATTAGTAAGTAGCAGTGGGAAGCTTTTCAGCAAAACCCAATTTTCTCAAGTCGAGAGAAGAGAGTGTGTTCTCGAAGTGAGGAGGCTTTTTGTTCGAAGCCGAACAAAAAAAAAATCGGAGGAGAAGTAGAAGAAGAAGAAAAAAAAAATGCGATTGTGCAATTTGTATCGGGAATCTCGAAGTAATTGATTATTAGCGTCCTTCGGGAAATGAGTTATAGAGATTTAATGGAATATTGTATTAGATATATTTTTTTGTAGATGTTGCGAAAATATTCCTCGTGCGTTTTCCGATAGATGCAGTTAGTTTATTTGCCCATCGTGCATCTCAATGTAAAACCATATTAAGACCTTATGAACAATGTTATTGCTAGGCATGGCTCGATTATGTATTATTCAGGCGATTAATATCTCCCGTCGGTGGCACGTTTTGTAATTTATATACCGCCATGACTGCGTTACGAAATTCTTCGCAATTAGACGATATTTCATTTGCTGTGTGAAGGAAACGCCGTATCGATTAATTCCGTTTTTGCATAACATCACGGTTTTAATCTCGTTATTTTTGCTCGTTTTTAATTACAGGATGAAAGGTTCAACCATGACATCGACGTTCTGACTGGATATAAGACGAGGACGCTCCTCTGCATGCCCATCAAAGATACCAACGGCGATGTTCTCGGGGTGGCGCAGGTAAAAAGCTTGGACGAGCGTGTTGTATTTTTTGTTCTTCAATTACGTTGTTCTCTCAGGTAATAAATAAGGTCGGGGATGCTCCGTTCACGGAACAGGATGAGAAGATCTTCTCTAGCTACTTGCAATTCTGCGGGATCGGCCTGAGGAACGCTCATTTGTACGAGAAATCCCAGCTGGAGGTGAAGCGTAATCAGGTGCTTCTAGACTTGGCTCGAATGATCTTCGAAGAGCAGAGCACGATTGAGCATGTAGTATTCAGGATTCTGACACACACGCAGAGCTTGATTCAGTGCCAGAGGGTGCAGGTATATCTTCTTAAAATATACATGCACCAATTTTACGTTGCATGTCTTATTGTTCGCATCAAATATTAACTTGTCTGTGTTTGTGTTGCGTCAGGTGCTGCTGGTTCATCAAGCATCCAAAGGCAGCTTCTCGCGGGTGTTCGATTTCGAGGCAACCGATTTAAATGGTGAAGACAGCGAGTCCCGTACAAGGTAAATTGCATTATTTACTCCAATTCAAATTGCTTTATAAATAATGTACGAACTTTCAGCCCGTACGAAAGTCGCTTCCCCATAAACGTAGGGATCACCGGATACGTGGCCACGACAGGAGAGGTAATGCATTCGAGATTAAGACTAATTTACAATTTGTTAATTGCTTGACTTTCAACAGACGGTCTCGATACCTTGCGCTTACGAGGATCCACGTTTCGACCACAGCGTTGATGATGGCACAAACTTCAAGCACAAGACCATACTGTGCATGGCGATCAAGAACTCCTCCGGTCAAATAATCGGTGTCATCCAGTTGATCAACAAATTCGATGATCTTCAGTTCACCAAGAACGACGAGAACTTCGTGGAAGCGTTTGCAATCTTCTGCGGAATGGGAATCCACAATACGCATATGTATGAAAGAGCAGTTGTGGCCATCGCCAAACAGAGCGTCACGCTTGAAGTGCTTTCCTATCATGCCACTGCTAGTCTTGATGATGCTCAACGGTTAAGAGTAAGTATGTATTCGGGGTTGGAATCTTAACATTTACCATGTAAATGTTAAAATAAATTACCTCGATTCATAAAAAAACTTTGTAATTAATAACATCAATTTGTTTTGTTCTTCATAGAAAATGAGAGTTCCTTCAGCTGCGAATTTCAGGCTCCACGAATTCACGTTCGATGATTACATCATGAACGATGATGAAACGATCACTGTAAGTTGCACTCTGCATTCTTGAAGGTCGGTGTATATAATATTTGTTTGATCTTTAAGGCCTGCATAAGAATGTTCCTTGATCTGGATCTAGTCGAGCGATTTCACATGGACTATGAAGTCCTCTGCAGATGGTTGCTTTCTGTTAAGAAGAATTACAGGAACGTGACGTACCACAACTGGAGGCATGCCTTCAACGTGGCTCAAATGATGTTCTCCATTCTGACTGTAAGATCAAAAGCAATCTTCACAAAATTTCCAAATTAACATAAATTACAATTTCGCAGGCTACGCAGTGGTGGAAAATATTCGGGGAGGCCGAATGTCTTGCTTTAATTATCGGCTGTCTATGCCACGATCTGGATCATCGAGGAACCAACAACTCCTTCCAAATAAAGTAATACCAATCTCATCAAACCTCCAATCGTTTCTCTAATAAATATCTTATTTCTTTATTTCTAGAGCTTCTTCGCCCTTAGCACAATTATATTCAACTTCAACGATGGAGCATCACCACTTTGATCAGTGCATCATGATTTTGAATTCGCCGGGAAACCAACTTCTTGCCAACGTTTCACCAGACGAGTACTCGCGTGTTATAAGAATCGTGGAAGAAGCTATTCTTTCCACCGATTTGGCCGTGTACTTCCGGTTAGTTAAATCATACAATTATATTTAAAAACCATTATTAAACCATCACTTTCGCCTTGCAGGAAACGCGGAGCTTTCTTTAACATAGTCAGAGAAGGACCCAGGTTTAATACAGAGGAGCACAGGGAGCTTCTGAGGGCCATGCTTATGACAGTTTGCGATTTGGCCGCAATAACCAAGCCGTGGGATGTGGAAAAACGCGTTGCCGAATTGGTTTCTTCCGAATTTTTCGAGCAGGGCGACATTGAAAGAGAGGAGTTGAACATTACCCCTATTGTATGTTCTACAATTATTTATTGAATTTCATTATTGTTAATACTGTTATACCATTTTCAGGATATCATGAATAGGGAAAAAGAGGACCAATTACCGCTGATGCAAGTTGGCTTTATAGATTCCATTTGCTTACCTATCTACGAAGTAAGTTATTCTATTATTGCAGAAAGAACGTATTATTAATTGTTTGTTTTTTTTTGTAATTTTTCAGTCTTTCGCTGCACTCTCCGATAAATTAGAGCCTTTGGTTGATGGTGTTCGGGAGAACCGCGATCATTGGTTGGAGATTGCGGCAGCACAAAGTTTGATACCTAGTGAAAGTATGGAGAAGGATTCCAATGATAATATGACCATTTCGAAGCCCAGCACACCGGACTCCGATGCTCCAAGTTCACCAGTGCACAACTACAATAGTGATTAAAACTACAGAAACAAACCAACAAAATGAAACCAGAAGTATTTAAGGAAGTCGGGGGAGAGTGTGAGAGAGAGAAATTGTTTGGAAGAGGGTTTTACGTGATTCGGATTTGAAACTTGTGTATTTATATGTAGATAAAGTTAATTTATTAAAAAAAAGACTTAAATTGATAATAGATTTAGCACAAAGTATATATTATATACGTATATATTATATATAAAAAAATATGTACGTTTAAAACAAAACAAAAAATAAGAAATTAGTCAGGAAAAGGATCCACGACCTTTTATCTCTATAACTACGATATGCTAAATAATCTTGTTTTACTATTTTAAACAAAATGAAATAATGAAGAAATGCACTATAGTTAGTGCCTAGTCCTCTTAACACTTAAGGAGTAAAATCAAATAATGTTGTAACGAGACGGAAATTCTATTATTTTGCATAGTCGAAAAGCGAACGAGAAAGTATTTAGTATTTTTTTTTAAATTTATATATATATGTATCTATTGAAAACAGAATAAGTACACTATATATTTATATATAAATATATTTTTTTTTATTTTTTGTTTTTGCTCTCTTAAACTTGTTTTTATTTAATTTTGTAATATTGTTGTGATATTTTTTTTTTATTAATAATATATTATTAATATAACTTGCTCTAGTGAATTGTATTTTGGAAAAATATAGTATTTGTTGTTTCATTATTTATTTTTTACATTTTTCATGTAAGAAATACTGTTAAACATCATGGATCTTCTTGCATTTTATTTCTTAAATAGAATATCTTTCTCTTACTAAAGTGAACACACAGAAACACACACATTAGCATTGTACGATTTGCACGAACCTCTCTATATTATATTATTCCGTTCGTATTATTATCGTGGAATTTGAATCACCAGAAGTTATAACTCACAAAAACACACACAGAGAGACAACAAAAAAAAAACACATACACAATCACATCTAGGATCACAAGAGGTGATCGCAAATCGTAATAATTACAAATAAAAAACAACAACAAAAGAGATGCTTGTACTTTATAACGTATTGAATTTTCAAATTTTTGTCGAGACGAATGAAGTTTTTGTTGTATTTGGATGAATGTGCAGAGTGAGAGCGTATGTGGAGCAAATATTCTGAAATGTTTGACGTTTTAGGCAAAGAATTCTGTAATAGCTATTTAATTATTATATTTTTTATTATAAAAAAACGGAGAGTGGATGGACACCATACAGAACCACGTGTTGCGGATGACGGACAGCGGAATTCGCAGTTTTTTTTTTGTATCTGAGTTCGATGAAATATTATCTTGTAAATTAATTGATTGTACAGTGTATGTAAAGAAAAATTGACCATATTAATATATTATCTATCATCAGACACTACAACCCAATTTTTGATATTTTATTTATTTATTCACCCCTCTTTATTTCAATATAATTTAATTACCCTTTGATAATTACAATAATATATTTTAATATTTTCATCAAATTTGAATAGACTAATAACTTAGTTAACAGTAAAATACATATATCGAGGTCTACTCTAAACCATTGATGGAATACAATGGCAAGAAGGGATCTAAAAGAGGGCCAATATATCTTGAGGGCCCTTGAATAGTAAAACTATTAGGGCCCACACCTTTCTTAATAAGTCCCTCCAACACTCCATGATTTTCTCTAACACATTTAGGGGGGCCTCAAACTAAAATTTCTTTGTATTCTCTGAATATAAGTATAGTATGCTTGACGCCATCAAATTCAAGTTTGAAAATTCAAATTTGCTTCAAAAAAATAGGAGCCCTAATAATATTTTTCTGGGGGACAAAGATTTGAAGTACCGCCACTGCTCTAATCCTTAAAAAAAAGCTTAAAATTTACCTATTTATTATTTACATTTTAATTAGTCCTAATTATTATATACTAATGTGACTTCGTTTAAGGATGTTTCGTTTAGTCCTCTAGAACGCATTCTAGGATGTAAACGAGGTCCTACTGTATAGGCACAAGTGAGTAAGGATAATTCAACGTCCACTTATCCTCTTCCACTTCTTGACCGACTCTCAAGACCCTTACCCTAAAAGCTTTATTTTCAAAGAGCTCCTCGTTATATTCTCTTTACATAGTAACAGTACACTTTACACCTACTCAATAATGCTATACATTTATATAAAAAGTTCACGTTTCACATATTATGTAGAAATTGAACGAATATTTGAATAATTTTATTTAATATAAATCACCTTAATTTCCTATGTATATGCAAATTTACCGAAATTAACTAATATAAGCTTACGTCACTAATCTGTTATATCTCTTAAGTTTAATGGTTCATTTAATGTTGCGATTCCACATGGTTGTCTTATCCATTAAACACTTTAGGTACATCATTTTAAGGGCCTACAAGAATTTTTGGGATCAGCAAAGAAAATATTGGAATTAAGATTCAAGACTACATATTTTGTTGTACATTTAAGAGCAATTCTAAATTTAAAAAAATGTAGATTACAATTGTAAAACAAATTTTAGTAAAGTGAACAAAACTATATATTTGGTATTTAATTTTAATTGATTTAATTAAATAGGCTATGTAAAACAAAAGTTAAAAATGGCATAAAATTGCTATGAAATTTGTGACATTAATTACATCTAACTATTATAAAATTATAATTATTATAATAATGATTCATTTTTTATTAAAAATTGCTTAACAAAATAATATAGTAATAATTATTAAAAACTCATCACAAAAATTTGATTTGAGACAAAAATTTTAAACTTAATAAATTTATCTAATAAGAATTAGTAAAGTATTTCACTTTGAAAATTAGTTTATCTTATTTCATTGAAATACTGGAAAATCTTGAGAGTTCGCAAAATTATTTTAAACTTGTAACTTTAAACTTCATCAAAGAAAACAATAACTTTTCATATTTGTAACTAGTAGCGCTCCTTTCGGTTCCATTAACAAGTTAAATACTTCTGTTAACTAAGTTGCCTATATAATGTAAAAGTTTTCAAATTATTTATATAATTTTGTAAATATTAATTATAAATTATTAATAACCAGAATCGAACTAAAATTTACTATTAATAAATTAAGCATTATTATTATTATTATATTTAATCCTTTAATTAATAAATTTATAATGTTAATTATTGCAAAATCAACATACGTTTTTTTTTATTATGAAGACAATTTAATGATTTACTGCCATTATCATTTTTTCTATTATACGTTTTCAGTGGGTGTGAAGAATGTAGGTCAACTTTGGGCTTTTCAAAATTGCACATCGATCGATAATAATACACTATGGAAAATAATCCACTCGATCCGTCAGAAACGTGATTTTGCTGCAATTAAAGGAATTATTGATAATCATATCTGTATGTACATAAATAATGAATACATTATCCTATTAAATCATAAATATGTCTAGTTTCAATTCAGTAATAATAATTGTTCAAATAAGATTTTATTTGATGATTCTGATATGGGTATATTTTTTATTTCATTTGTATTTATGTAAGTTTTATGAGTTTTTTTGGTTGTTCAAAGTCTTCAAAATTAAGGAAATATTGAACTTATTGTTTCTTAACTCTTAAATGTGACTGTAAGAAACTTCTTCTATTATTGAAGATCTTGATGACGATTTCATTACTTAATAAAAATAATTGAAACTTTTATGTGCTTATATATGCTATAGATTTGTATAGAAAATAATATACTTTTTTGAAGAGAAATCTAGTACAAAATTAGTTTTCAATCTTTGATAATTGAAACATTCACATACTATAAACAAAAATTGAATTATTGTATGTGTATATGTATTACATTCCTTTTTTTTAATCTAAACAAGGATAATTAAGATGAATTTATTTGCAAAGTTTTAATTTTATGATGCAAATATTTCTCTTATTATAATATTATGAATTATTATTGGGTTTTAGTTCGAGCCGCTTTTGCAAGAAAATTTTGATTTATTATTTCTTCATCTTTTACTTCAATTTGTACGGTTTCTCGCCAAAATACTTTTCTTGGTGGTGTTTTATATCGGCTAACAATTAACTGCAAGAATAGTTAATAAATTGCATTTTCTGGTGAATACTGCTGTTAGAGTATGCAATTCTGTTTAACTGCAACAATAATTGTCTTGTAGTAAAAGTAACAGAAGGGCTGTGGTATTGTTGTGGTTTTTGCTCTAAACTTTTTTTCAAGTCGGTTAAAATGTTACCTTTTAGAATATGTCAATTGTTTTCAATAATTTTGAGATATTTAGGTGGCCATGCCAGTAAATGTCTTTTATTTCAAATATTAAACGTTATGAAAATTAGACAAATCGTAGTTTTTTATATAAACATTAGATTCTCTTGCATCAGGATTAAATTCGTCGTATTTTCCCATCTTTTATGCAAAGATATGGTAAATCAGGCTCAGAAATAACACCGAAGAAAGTCATTATATACCTGGGGATCTCCATTGACAGTAACCTGACCTACGCCGAGCATATCAGGGCAGTAGCCATCCGAGCAGCAGAAACAACTACAGCTGTAAGCAGGTTGATGCACAACAAGGCTGGACCGAAGTCTAGCAAGTCTAGAAGTAGTGGCACAATCTATTATGCTGTACGCTGCTCCTATATGGAAACAAGGAATGACAGTTCTAAGCTATAGGAAAGCGCTAGAAACGGTCCAACGGAGAGGAGCAATTAGGATATGCAGCGAGTATAGGACAATTTCCCGACACACAGTGCAGGTGATAGCTGGTGTGCCACCAATAGAGCTCCTTGTTCTGGTGAGAGGTTAGAGGCAGAGGGGTGCGACCAAAGCGGATGCTAGAGCCAGACTGCTGCAAAAATGGCAAGATAAATGGCACAGGTCGGAGAAAGAAGCCTGGACTCGGCGCCTAATCCCACAAATAGAGCCTTGGTTAAGCAGAAAGCACGGTGAAAAAACATTTCACCTGAGCCAGGCGCCGTCTGGTCATGGATGCTTTGGTAAGTACCTGCATTTTATCGCAAGAAGGAAAACGAAAGGTGCTGGTACTGTGAGGAGCACGATAGCCCTTAGGTGCTGCAGATGGGTTGGAAGGAAGCACGAGGCGGAGGCAGCGGCAGAATTGGGAGTTCTGCTAGAACCAGAAAATGTTATCAGTAAAATGCTGAAGAATGCGGAGAACTGGGATATTTTAGCGGCGTACATATCAGAGGTGCTACTAAGCAAAAAAGGAGACAAGCGGAGGCTGCAAAGGGTCTACGAGGATAGTGTCAGTGGAGGACAGCATTAACATAATCTAGGGGAAGTGCCAAACAGGCAAGGACAATCAGCATCGCATAGTAGTATAGTGATCCTGTATGCTGAGGAAGATGGAGATTACCCACAGTACCACGACTCCACCCGTGGTCTGTATGTAAGGTTTCTTCTCCTCTACAAAAAAAAAATTATATTAGTTCTGTCTAAGTACAAAATTATTGTTGAGTCTATGATAATTGAAACATTCACATTGTGCAAACAAAAATTGAATAATTTTATATATATTACATTAATTATTAAATAAGTTTAAACAAGGATAATTCAGATGAACTTATTTGTCAAGTTTTAATTTTATGTTGGAAATAGATCATTTCTTATGAATATTTCTCTTATTATAATATTATACGACTTTCCACAGATATGTTAACAGTGTTTTATTTATCAAAAAATTGGACATCTTGTTGTTTTTAATATAGACATTAGATATCAGCAGCGATTGATTTTCTCGTATCAGGATTAAAATCGTCGTATACAACAAAGGAAAACATTTAATACCAAGTAACTATTTCTGCATCTTTTATACAAAGAGACATTTATTTATTAGTCTTTTTTTGGTTGTTCAAACTCTTCAGAATTAAGGAAATACTGAACTGAAGATTAAGAAGTTATTGTTTCTTTTGATGTTCGATGAGAATTTTGGAAGCTCGTATAGAATAACTCTCAAATGTGACAGTAAGAAACTTCGTCTATTATTGAAGATCTTGAAGAAGATTTCATTATTTGATAAAAGCAATTGAAACTTTATATGCTTATACATGCTATAGATTTGTGTTGAAAATAATATACTTTTTTTTTGAAGAAAAATCAATATCAAAGCTTTGATACAAAGATAAAATGTTTACCAGTTCAGATTTTAAAAATGTATAAATTGATTGTTGAGTCTTTGATAATTGAACCTACTGCAAGCAAAAATTGAATGATTTTATATGTATTACATTAATTATTAAATAAGTCTGAATAAGGATAATTAATATGAACTTATTTGCCAAGTTTTAATTTTATGTTTGAAATAGATCATTCCTTTTGAATATTTCTCTTATTATAATATTATACGACTTTCCACAGAAATGTTAACAGTGTTTTATTTATCAAAAAATTGGACATCTTGTTGTTTTTAATATAGACATTAGATATCAGCAGCGATTGATTTTCTCGTATCAGGATTAAAATCGTCGTATACAACAAAGGAAAACATTTAATACCAAGCAATTATTTCCGCCCCAAAGATGAAAAAGTTCGATATCGGGGATGTAAGAATTCATCTCTGTAGTTGCTTTTCCACATCCCCAAATATATTTGTACGATATGTGCAATACTCGATATATGAAATAAAGTTCTCTCATTTCTTTCTAAAATATGCTTTTCAATCCACTATAAAATCAGTGTATAAAACGCACCAGAATATAATACGCACATGGAATTTTTAATACTAATATTTTATACCAATGAAGATGAAGTGAAGGCATAAATTGTTGGCCAAGATGTGATTAATAAAGGGATCGCTTTCTAAATATGCATAGGGCCTTCGATAATGTATTCCGCGATCTGAAATATATTATGTACTTAGGGTTCCAGAATCAATGTCTTCGGAGATGAATAATACATGATCGAATCTCCTTCGCGATTTCCATATTTGAGGTCTGTATAAAAGGGAAAGAATTAGTTGTGACTACCCTATTTAACGTTGTTACTTGCAGCGTCTGGTAATGGCTTCAGGAATGTGTGCCTTCGCGTAATTAGATTTTCTTTGACGTGACTGCATTTCCTGCGCTTACGGTTGGTTGTATGCGGGAATGCTTGAGCGATTTGCAAGTTGAGCAGCCATGACAAGAACCCTTCGTACAAAATGTTATACTTTGTGCTGACAAAAGCGAAATATATGAAATGTGGAAAGAAGGAAAATACTTACGTAAACGCTCGTTCCTCCGGTTACGAACGTAAGTTTTATCTGCAAAATATTGTTATAGTAAAATTGCATTATTACAAAACTTTAAGTCAATTTTGTAATTCATATAAAATATGAAAATTATCACAGTCTTGCTTCCAAACCACTTTTCTATTATTAATATATTAACAAGAGCATAGATTTAATTAGTTAAATCTATGCTTAAAACTTTTAACAACAAGTTTTTTTTTCTGTTGAAACATCTACAACTTAAGTCATTAGCATTTAACATTTAAGATATTTCAGCAAAATTTTATTAATTACATTTTCTATCATTACTTCTTTTCTTATATCTATATGTACTAAATAAATTAAAAATCATTGAAAATCATTACAAAAAATACTAGCATATGTATTTCTGTTCAAAAATATACTAATTTTAACATCCAAATACTTTCTGTAATTTTGTATTTTATACATAAAATATAACATATTTACATGATTATTCTATTTACAATACTTCAAAAAGATAATTCTAACTAAAACTATTTTTATTTGTAATTTACTAAAAAAAAAGTAAACTTACATAAAAATTTTACTTTTTGTTATGTAATTCAACAATAATCGTTAAGTTAAAGGTGATATATTAATCTAAATACACGTGAGGAATAATTTACGATGAAGCGAAACTCATTACGTACTTACTCGAAAACTATAAACTATCGCTAAAAACTTGTTGAGCTCCGAAGCAATTGAAGTGCTTCGTCTAGTGTTTGCATGCGGAGCAATCGATGTTTTGCCTAGTTCGAGATTTGTTTAACCCTTTTTCATGCAAATATTATGACTCTCGTATTAATTGCATAAAATATACATTTCAATTTCGAAAGTAATATCAAGTTAGTTGTGTAAATACGAAATTTTTATTCATAAAATTCGAATAAATTGTTAAAAACGTAAATATTTATACTAAATTTGTTATTATCAAAAAAATATTAATTATTAATAAAGTTTTAATTTTATTTCTTGTTTCTAGCATAACATAAATTACAATGAATAAATATAAAGAAAAAACATATCAAAATTGTAATTGTAATGTAATGATTTTTATATATAAATGGTTTTATATTTATATTTAACAAGCTGTTATATTTAAACTCCTTAATTATATTTATCTTATGTAACTCGTGTCGCGTCTGTTATTGTCATTTCTCCTTCCAAAATTCGCAACTTTGAACTTTCGTCTTACCTTTGCCTCAAACGGCATGTTTGCACTTGTCGTTCAACATTCGTTAGAAGATTTAATGAGTTTAATTAAACCTATCCCACGTTTCAACCATTCACTAAAACGTTAATTATGTAATGTAATTTAAAAAATATTACTAAAAATGTAATTGTTACTGTAATTTACTTATAAACTATGTTTATTGATCATAGTCCTTCCAAAGTACCTCTTATAGTCCGGTTTCAATCAGTCCGAATTTGCTGATTTGAAAATAAACTAAATAAATAAAAATAGTCCACAAAATTATTTTTTGTACACATAAATTATATGTATTATTTTTTCTTTATATAGTCAAATCTCTTTTTTTTGTATGGTTCAATTTTTGTTTGTATTTGGTTCCTCGATTTGTCCGGTTTTAAATGGTGGCGAAAACTATTGCAATATTACTTCATTGTTTAAATTTGTATTAAGTAGATTTAATAAAATCAGATTTCAATTAATTGGTATTGTAAGTATCTTTGTTAAACATTATTTGTCTTGAAAACCCTTAACAGTGAATTGATATTCAATTAAGGGTCAAGTAGTGTTCGATTACTCACAGCATAGATGCCAATTTGTATGTTAAGTTTTCGAATCCTGCAAATTAGCAATTCATGAAACTACCGAGAACAGATTGACTAAACTATTTTTTCTTGATATATTTCTTATGTATTTATTTGAATTACATATAAAACTTTTTTTTATATAATTTAATAATTTTTTTTTAAAGAATTCAATAAACTGATTATAAAGTGTAAATGGATTTAAGAAATCAAATAAATTACAAAAATTTTATAGTTTACTAACGTTTTGTTAAAATTTCTAAAGAATTTAAGTAAATTATGCTATCAAAGCGGAAAGGCATCTTTCGGCGCTTCCGTTTATCTTTGATAAATAGTGTTTCTAAGTAGTTGAGACGAGATTGTAGAGGAGTTTTAGTTCCGGCCAAAGTTTTCAAAGCCGTTTGACGTGGTCAGGACACACACCTGACGATGTCTTTGTTAGTTAACCGCATGACTTTCAGGAATCTCCGACGTAACAAATCAGGTAAAAAAAATAAATAAATACCAACAAAATATAAAAATAACAGTGAATTTCTGCCTAATGACCATAGCAATCGATGTTATAAAAAACAGTGTATTTAACGAGTTTCATGTGGAGTTGTTGTATTGAAATTTAACAAGGTACAAAAAACAAACTAACAATTCTTTTGAGAGCACTCTATGGAATTACATGCGTGAATTCGGCTTTTATAAATGCTCATTTTTTTTTGTATAATTATTGTGTTGAATTTATCTCCTCTATATGAACTGTTTGCATTTGGCCAGACGGAATCAATATATTTTACATGAAATAAATGAACTCGCTTTTTAATTCAACTTTTAAATAATGTATTAATCCACAATCTATATATTGTTGACATTTCAAAGTTTTATATTAAATATTTAATATAAATTTTATTTAATCTAAAAAAAATCCTCTAAACTATCGTTTCTCAATCTATGGGACGCGAACCAATAATTGGTCGAGTTAAATGTTCAATAGGTCACAAGCTGTCACTTTGTGTCAAAGCGTCAAAAAATTGTTGGGTCGCAGTACAACACCAAACCAATACCATGTTAGTTCTTTTGTCAAAATTTATAGATGTCACTTTATGTCTCATTAGAATGAACTTAATTTCTTATACAATTCAAAATTATGCTCTGACATGTTGTTAAATGAATAGAGTTTAGCATTGCATTGTTTAATAACTTTTGTCTATAAATTTCTATAAACTTCATCAATTTCTTGAAGAATATATTGCTCGACAAGATCTTCCGTCAAAAGT